GTGTCTTAAAATGTGTTTAAAACTACTCAAAGATTGTCTAAAGCAAAAACTTAATAAAAATTACTCAAAAAATCTCCAAAATAACTCAAAATGTATCCAAACTGACTTTAAAACTATCTAAAGTGTCTTGAAACGTGTCTAAAATCACTTTAAAATTAATTAAACTACCTTAAGGCTGCCCAATTTATTTAAAAATTGTCCAAAATGACTCAAAACGTGTCTTAATTTTCTTAAGAGGTGTCCAAAACATCCTCAAAATTGTCCAAAGTGGCTCCAAAACTGTCTGAAATGTCGTAGAACTCGACCGTTATGACTGAAAACTCATCTGAAGATTAAAGTTAAAATAAATGTGGTGTTTTGAAACCAACACACTTGTTGTTGACGTAAAAATACAAATGTTGTTCTTGTTAATAAGTCTGGAAATGGAAGAAATTTCTCAAATTAGGCCAAAAATATTAAAAGTGCAATATTTGTACTGTTTTGAAATTGAAAAACAAAAAACCCAAAACATTATTTTATAGATATTTGAAAGAAAAATATGTGTGCTAGGGATTGAAAAATAGTAAATATGTTCAACTGCTATCTCACGGATTTTCCCTCTATTGGTAAATTATAAATATTATTTAGTAAAATCACAGAAAAAGCATAAATTTACTGTAAAACAACGTCCACATGAGCAGTGAGCAGCAAACCGGCCGAGTGTGGAAGCATCTGAGGTCAGAGTCGGGGGACGAGACACAGGAAGTGGCCACGTCACATGACGGCCCTTAACGAGATAATTAAGTTGACTGTAAATGTGAGGCGCGAGGAGGAAACTCGGGCCAATCATGTGGCTCGCTGGACAGGCGTGAGGTCGTAGAGAACCGGGGAGGACATCAGAACTCATTCAGAAACTCAGCGTGGAGCGGAATTCAAAGAACCCGGACGATGGAGAGGAGGACCGTGGAGAACCCGAGGAGGCGGCGGAGCGACCAGGACGGGAACATCTGAGAGGTTCTGACACCGGAACAGCTCGGACAAACGATGATAGAACTCTTATGACTCGCTCAGATTCAATTAGCAGCAATGAATCCGATGAATAAAGTCCAAGAAGAAAACAAGTAATAAAACTCAAATGCTTCCAGTTACAACAAACAGGAAGTCGTCGTGTTGTTGACGTCCACGGACGCATGAAGGAATTGATCCAGTCGGAGCTCAGATTTAATCACAAAGCTCTTCTGATTAAATTGATTTAAAAAACTCTATATTTGGTATTTGAATAATTCACAGTTCTGTTGGGAAAACGAACCCAAACTGATTTAAAACTCAAAAACAAGACACCAGGACTCCGTAACCATGGAGACGGCTGTCAGCTCCGGTGGTTTAACATATATAACGTTTTATAATGGTTTCAGTCGTTCTCAGTGAGCTGCAGGACTTTGTGCTGCAGAACCAGAACCTCAGTGAGTTACAACAGAACCAGAACCTCAGTGAGTTAGAACAGAACCAGAACCTCAGTGAGTTAGAACAGAACCAGCTCCGATGAGGACCTGGTCATTAGCATGCGTGAGGCGTTCACTCGTCTCCAGCTAGAACCCAGATCCATTCACCCTCTGCCAGCTTCTCAGGCCTCGTCCTGCCAGCCTTTGTTTCAGCTCGTTGGGATGCGGCGCCGGGCTCCGAGGCCTCTGGACCGGGCCTCAGGACCCGTACAGACGAGGATCTCCTTTCAGGGCCGAGGACAAAGACCAGGCTCTGCTGCTATTCACTGCTGTTGTCCTGCTTCGTCCCCGCTCCTCGTTCCCATCCAGAACCGCCCAGCACAACAAAGAACCCTCCAGAACCCTGGCCGGGCCGCCACATGTAGGAGCCGACCCGAGTCCAGACCGCCGAGGCTGAATACAGAGAGACCAGCAGGAGGAGCTGAACCCTGACTGATGGGGAGGCAGCATCAGCTGGCCTCAGAGACAACAACACAACAACAACAACAACAACACGACAACAACAGCAACACAACAACAACAACAACAACACAACGTCAGCTGGCCTCAGAGACAACAACAAGACAACAACAACAACACGACAACAACAACTGAGACAACAACAAAACGTCAGCTGGCCTCAGAGACAGCAACAACACCACCACAACAACACAACAACAACAACACGACAACAACAAGAACACAACGTCAGCTGGCCTCAGAAACATCAACACAACAACACGACAACAACACAACAACAGAGACAACTACCACACAACAACAACAAGAACACAACGTCAGCGGGCCTCAGAGACAACAACACAACAACAACAACACGACAACAACAACAACAACAACAACAACAACAACAACAACAAAACGTCAGCTGGCCTCAGAGACAACAACAACAACACCACAACAACAACACAACAACAACAAGAACACAACGTCAGCAGGTCTCAGAGACAACAACACAGCAACAACAACAACAACACAACGTTAGCTGGCTTCAGAGACAACAACAACACAACAACAGAGAACAACACAACAACACGACAACAACACGTCAGTTGGCCTCAGAGACATCAACACAATGACTACAACAACACAGAGACAACAACACAACAACAGAACTACAAACAACAACAGGGCTTATTATTATTATATTATATTAATATTATCATCTTACAATTTATTATTATTATTATTATTATTAATAATAATAATAATAATAATAATTCTTTATTCACTAACATTTTACAAACTGTTTTTTTTCTTAAAAACAACTAAAGTTTTTGTTTATTGAAATATGGTAAAGAACAATTTTATGGTTTAACATAAAATAATAAATTTCTATTTGTAAAAACACTGAGTTTTGACGTTGACATTATTCACCACTTCGGTCTGTTGGTTTATTTACTATTTTTAACTCCTAACAGACGTAATTATTCCTCCAGTACCAGCAGATATCTGTATCTGATGTAACTCCAGTTTAAAGGTTAAACCTCCTCCTGGACGCGTCTCGCTGCTCCAGAGCTGCTGCTGCTGCTCTCAACACATATTTTCCCAGAGATGCTTCCGCTGATGATTGAATCCAGCTGAGACGCTGAAGAACAAATACTCCCCGAGGAATGAAGCGTCTGGGCCAAAGAGCTGCCGTAAATGGACCCGTCTGCACTGTAAACACACCGGATCTGATACCGGTCCATCAGAGACGAGCTTCACAGGTTCCTGTCGCCGTGAACACGACCGTCGTCTGCCGCTGACTGGTTTTCTGTCCTCAGACTGTGATGCCACTGGTTAGACCTGGAGGAGCAGCTAGAAGCAGGTCCAACAGCTGGACGTCAGCTCGGTGCTGGTTCCAGGTCAGGCAGCAGAACTAAGGGTAAACCGTGTCCATCCTCCTCCAACACGTCTACAACAGGATGAAGACAACGTCCACATCAGGACCCGTCTCCTGAAACAGACTCGGCTCAGCAGAAGTCTGTTGACCTCAGTGGTCAGTGTGGTGACACTTGGCGACGCTGTGGAGGTCCAGGCTGAGTTTACGCTGCAACAACCAAGAGTTTAAAGCTCAGAGATCCTGCTGAAGCTTCTCTGAGGCCTTCAGGGTCTCACTGGTGACATCCAAACCCATATCAAACATAATCATTCAGTCTGACTTTAAGAGCACCAGTGACTTCTGAACACCAGAACTGTTTCAACTTGTTTCTGTCTCGTTTATCTTCACTGAGGTTCATGTTCCACTAAAGTCCTGCAGCTCTGTGGAACCAGAACATGAAGGAGGAGGAGAGAGAACTCAGAGACGTGTTCTGTCAGCAGGACTCAGAACGATGGAGACCAGAGAAAGAGACAAATTAAACCTGGACTCAGCAACACTTTGTTCGCTTTACGTCTTTCTGGTTGTTTTGTGTCACATTCTAGATGTTCAACATGTTTTTTTTGCATCTTTACTTGGTCATTTAGATCTTTTGCTGGACCTTCTGTGGACATTTCTGGGACACTTTGGCTGTCTTTAGGGGTGGGACTTTAACACATTAATTACGATGAATTAATTACAACAAAAATAACACATTAAAAACATTTGTGGCTATCCAGGACTGCTAGCACTAACAGCTCCGGCGGTTTCTGTGCTCGCTGCTTTGCGTTCAGGTGATACCATCAGCTCCATGTGCTTCGGTGGGATGCACATTCTTTTTTGCACAAGTTGCACAAAACCTTGTCGAGGTTTCCATCAGGCAGTTTGTTAAAAAGAAACTTGGCCTCCATCAGTCCATGTGATGCGCTCTCATCGGACTCCTCCGTGTTTGTTAGCGTAGCGCTGACGCATGTTGTGCATCATGTGACCGGTGGACGTTTTGTGGTGGTTTTTTTGTAGTTGTTTTGTGTCACAGTTTGGTTGCTTTCATCTCTTTCTGCTCATTTCGTGTCCTTTACTTTGTCTTTTTTGACGGTTTCACGGCAGATTTTGGCTGTTTTACATCTTTTGTGGTCGTTCTGCTTCACTTCATTTAAACTGTTTTCCACCTTTTTGTCTGTTTGTCTCCAGCAACTGGCTCGTCTGTTCACCGGTTCTGAGCCATGCTGCATTTATTTATCGATCCGGTCGGTTTCATCACACACAGCTGAGTCAGTCACGGAGAATCAGTCGTCTGACGAACGCAGAATGTTTCGTTTTTACCAGAATCTGCTGCAAAAGCTTCGTTTCAGGCAAATCTTTAAAAATGAGACTGAAGTTGTTTTGACAAAATAACATCATTTTTAAGATTCGATTTCTAAAACTTCTCTAATGAACGTTCAGGTCAAGTGATTGTTTCGAGGCTCAAAAGGTGAGAATCCGACTGTTCTTCGTGGTTTCACAGTTTCTGGCCGACAACGTGACTCATGGTTCAGCCGCGACTTCACCGAGACCGTCTGAACTAGTTGTTTTTTTTACAGAATCTGTTCAGAGCAAACTGTTTATATTTCAAATGAGTCACGCTGAAGAGAAAGCGATGATTAAATGTGATGATTTTAAGCTCAGATTTGGTTCATTTTAAACAGAACTCACACGATGCATTCAGGGGAACTTGGAAATCCGATGATTCTTTCTGTTTTTGCACTTTCTGGCAGATAAATGGCGCCAATTAGCCAAATGTTTAATGAAAACATGACTTTAAAAGCTGCTGGTGAGTTTTAGGGTTCAGAAGATGAAACCAGAAGCATTTTAATGTCTCAGTTCCGATTTCTTTGACTTCAGATTTGAAGCTGAAACCTGTTATTTTACTGCAGCATTCATTATTACAGCTCAGCTTGGGGCACAAAGTGTTTAACCGCCTGAATCCCTCGACTGCGACGTGAAGATCCTCCACCTCGCCGCTTCACCCTCGGACATCTCGTCACACCTTTTCTGTTGAGCAGCTGCTGGACGTTCACAGCGACGGGATGAATCTGCGCCACGGCTGCAGCTCCTCGGCTCTCCGGCGCTGACTCGTCCACAGCGTTGTTAAAACTCTGCCCTGAATGTGTTGCCAAAGTAATCTGAGCTCTGGCAGAACCAGTTTGGCTCTCTCAGCCTGCTCTCAGCTCACAAACACAAACTCCTCTGAAGCAGAAATACCTCCGTGGTCGGACGTCTAACGGACGGATCTCTGAAGGAGCAGCTCGTATTTAAAACAGACAGTCACTGCTTTCAGACGTGTGATTATGGAAACACTGATTCAGGCACCTGAAGAACACAGTGAGCGATCTGTTCCTCTGAGAGCGGAGCAGCGTCAGCGAGCAGAGCTGCTAGAACACTCAGGGTTCTCCAGGACGCCTCAGATTTACGAGCCGAGGCCGCCGACGGGACTCACCGTGTCTCCGATCTTCAGGTCGGCGCACTTCCGGAGGCCCGGCAGCGGCTCCCCGTCCTGGCAGGTGGCGGTGAAGGAGAGGCTGAGGTCCTCGGGGTGGTCCCACACCGACAGCTCCACCTTGGAGCGGATGTTCTGCAGAGAACCAGAGAACCAGAGAACACGGAGGTCATTCAGGCAGCTATAGATCCTGCCTCTGCAGCCGTCTGCACAAAAACACTTTCCATAATAGTGGAACCACAGGAACATAAACATGAAGCCTCCAACACACCGTCTGGCTTCAGTCAAAGTTCGAATGACAGAAATCAGAAATCAAGAACTATTAAAATGTGACTTTGATTATTTCCATCCATCCATCATATCTACACCTTAATCCTCACTGGGGTCACATGCTG